ATTTTTTTTTTTTTGTCACCAATGTTGATTTTTTACAATCGGGGTACTCATTCTAGACAGAATAAACGTATCTAGCCGAAAAGCCACGTATATTTTGGCGTCTGCTTTAACTTAGTGTGATAAAAATATTAATGATTATTCGATAAGTAAAGATTGAATTCAAAGAGCTCGTAATTTTAATAGAAAAATTATAAATAATGAAATAATAAAATAATTCAAACCAAACACCGCTTTAATGGTTCACTGGGACGGAAAAATGTTGCCGTCTTACAACAAAAAAAAATTACACTGAACGTTTAGCGGTATTAGTATCTGGTGATGGCAAAACTAACGACGTCGGGTCCCGCGTTATCCTGCCCGCTTCGCACACGGCCGGCGTGAGGTTCATGAAAAGACGTTATCACGACGCCATGGCCTTGATGCGGACGTACGGCAAGCCCGATCTGTTTATCACTTTCACCTGCAACCCGAAGTGGACGGAGATCGCGAACAACCTGTCGGACGCGTTGACGTAAATCGACAGGGCCGATTTGGTACGCGCGTGTTTCACGCCAAACTCAAAGCGCTGATGGACGATCTGACGCGCAGGAACGTCTTCGGCCGCGTAGCGGCTTACGTCTACACGGTCGAGTTTCAGAAGCGCGGTCTGCCGCACGCGCACATACTGCTCATTCTCGATAAACGGTTTAAAATACGTTCGGCCGAAGACGTGTACCGAATCGTGCGAGCGGACATACCGGATCCCGTCGCGCAACCGACGCTGCACCGTCTGGTCAAGGCCCAGATGTTGCACGGTCCGTGCGGCGTGTTTTTTAGAACGTCGCCGTGTTGGGACCAAGAGAAAAACATTTGCACCAAGCANTGTTGGGACCAAGAGAAAAACGTCTGTACCAAGCAATACCCGAAACCGTATTGCGAGGAAACGGTTTACCGCGCCGACGGCGGTTACCCCGAGTACAGGCGACCCGACAACGGTCGTACCGTCGAAGTGCGGCGGGCCACCCTGGACAGTCAGTGGGTGGTGCCTTACAATCCCTATCTGACGGCCAAGTACAACGCTTACATCAACGTGGAGGTGTGCTCTTCGGTGAAGAGCGTCTTGTATCTGTACAAGTACGTGTACAAGGGCCACGACGCCGCCACGTTAGCGGTGTTGAACAACAACGAAATACAGAGGTACGACGACGACAAAACGTTTGATATTCGCATTTTGATCGTTTCGTTTTGTTTTCCAGCTATTTGAACACGAGATACGTGAGTCCGCCGGAGGCGTTTTGGCGTTTGGCCAAGTACGAAATTCAAAAGCAGAGTCACGCCGTCGTAAAACTGCCGGTTCACCTCGAGGGCCGGGAACCGGTTTATTTCCGACGGGGCGAACTGCCGCCCGCGGTGCTCTTCGGCGCCGGGGTGCGCACGATGCTCACGGAATTCTTCCAGCTGAATAGGAACGACGCAGGCGCTAGGCGGTACCTATATCACGAAATACCCAACTGCTACGTGTGGGACGGCAGGGAAAAGTCGTGGCGTATGCGCCAACGCGCCCAGACGTATCCGAACATCGCGAGAATGTACGCGGTCAGTCCTTGCGACAGGGAGCGTTTCTACTTGAGGACGTTGCTGCTGTACCGCAGGGGACCGATCGGTTTCGAGGACCTGAGGACGGTCGACGGCACGGTGTACCCCACCTACGCCGAGGCCGCGACGGCTCTGGGCATCTTGCGAGACGATCGCGCGTGGAGGGCGTGTATGCGAGAAGCTTCCGTCCACGACACGCCGCATCAGTTGAGATGTCTGTTCGTCACGATACTCCTGCATTGCTCGCCCAACGACCCGCCGAGACTGTACGACGAGTTTAAGGTACAACTCTAACTGTTTGTTTTTTTTTTCGCACGGCGACGGCGTTCTTTTANTTTTTTTTTTTTTTTTTTTTTTCGTATGGCGACGGCGTTCTTTTAGTGTGGATAATTAATATTTTACGAATATCTATCCGAGTTCAAAATTATAAATTCCGTTTGTTCACGGACAAAACGATAACAATAATTGTTATAATTATTATTGTTGTCTCTATTATTAATAATATTCTTACTAATAGCTACAATTAACATATTAATATCGATCGCATATAACGATGATAATAATAATAAGTAAATAAATAGGACAACGGCAAAAATATGTAGATTCAATACTGTTGCAACGCCGCGACTTTTCATGCCATGTATCATTGACTGGCAAATTTAAATTTTCCACGTCGATTCGATATAATCGTAACATTAATTTACGTGTTCTTTACAAATATTTTTTCATTGTTATAGCCGATGTTTCTTCAATAGTGTTTGATCCCCGTATATAAATTCATAAAATGTTTATTAAAGCGTGTATTCACGTTGAGTTAAAAAACAAAGTATGAATCAACTCGATGCAAATCACTACAGTGTACGACATGCTTATTTAATTTATTATTAAATTGCTTTTATTTATTATAAATATTTCATTTTAGACGATAATAATAATGATTATTTGACAATATCTATTCAAAGTACGCGGGACGGTTTTGTTTCGTTTTTTCTTTTATAGCTCGCGCAATAACGGCAAGAGCGATGAATTTAATTATTAATCGTTCGTTGTGTTTACAGGACAATCTGATGGAAGATTACTTCAGACGACGCGCAGACCGCGACACATCCGAAGCCATGTGTTTGGCCGCCGTGGAACGTCACCTGGCCGCTTCGAACAAGACGCTCGGGGGTTACGGTTTACCCGAGCCCGATCGCGCTCTGTTAGTACCGGACGCCGCGCCAGCCGACAACGCGACAGCGGCAAACCCGTGCTGTTCGCCGGCTACTCCAGACAGACGTTGCCCATCGTGAAGCGCGGTTCGCGGGCCCAAATCGTTTCGGCCACCATACGACACGGTGTTTATTGGGTTTCGATGGAAAAATACTCGCTGGAGCGCAACATGCGCGCCGACGGCGACCGGCCCTTCGCCGATTGGCTGTTGCGGCTCGGCGCGGGCTCGCTCAACGACGGACTGGAACGCGTGACCATTCCGGCCGGTGCGGTAAGCGAATCTTTTGCGTCTCTATTGGACTTTGTATACCCGCGGGCGATGTCGTTGGACAACGTTCGCGATTACGCTAAACATTATCATCCGCATGCATACGGCTTATTACGTGCATTACGTATATATTCCTACCGCCGTTTATACCTCAGGTATAACGTTAGTCCGACCCGCCCGCCTACAAAACACGGCTATACCTAGTGCATGATACGTTTACGTACTTAAGTCGCTTTACATGTATATATATATATTCTAATTACTATTAAAAATATATATTAACACACTTTATTCTTATTTAAAAATATACAACTCATTCATTCCGATTACAAAGGATGAATCCAGTATAGTCATTTTTTGTCACTACCTCCATGTTCCGGGAGTGGGTAATTTACGCGTCTGCTGCTTTCCTTGGATGTGGGAGCCGTTTCTCAGACTCCCTCCCCGGAATCGAACTCTGTTTTCCCGTTACCCGTTACAACCATGATATTGATAGTAACTACTATCATAACATGAAACTAAAAAGTGAAAAATAAATACAGTTTAAAAAAACTAAAAAAACACGCTTTTAAAGCACATCGAACTAAAAAGTTAAAAATAATTTTTAAAATTAACTTAAAACAATAATGAACGAAAAATACTTGTATTATTGTGATAAAAGCGTGGGTGCTTTATGCCATAGTTTTCGTATATTGAGCGCCCGACGCTTTTATCATAATAATACTAGTATTTTTTATTTATAATTATTTTAAACTTATTTTTAACTTTTTAGTTCGATGTGCTTTAAAAGCGTGTTTTTTTAGTTTTTTTAAACTATATTTATTAATAGACTATTTCGATGTCACTCCCCCTCAATAGTAACAATTAACATGTATTTTATTGTTCCCTGCGTGGAAAATTACATTGAAATTTTTTAACACTCATTATTTCATTGTGGAAAAACACATTAAAATCGAAGTCGATAATTTAAAATATTTTTAATGTCAAATAATAAACTCGCAATGCACCATTGATCAAACTGTTAAATTAAAAAATATTTATGCTTGATTTCGAGTCTTTGATTTCTCTAGAGTAAATACCATTGCCGTACAACACTGAGGTATTTTATAAATCGCCAACCCGATAAGATTTTGTTTACATCGAGTTTGTAATGTTAACAACGAAAACATTTAAAAACGAGACAAATAATATCTCGCCTGTAAATATATTTTTTTCTCTCATATGTCAACCGTGATTTTCTTATTGTTGTGTTCTAGATTTTTACAATGATTTCGGCACTCGCCATAAGCATATATATATATATATATCGTTTTGTATTTTTATATATATTTTCTTTGAACTATTTTGTTTTTAATTGCTCCGAGCAATTATTCCATACAATTACGTGTGCTAATTTATGTAATCAAAATAAATTAATAATAATCGTGAATATCGATTTTTTACCACGTTATTATTATTTAACTATTTAAAGTAATCATTTCACTTGAGGTACACACACGTTAGGGTTATCTCATACGATATTTCGCTTACAGTTTATTTTCGCGTATTCGATATATTCTATATAACTTTTTTTTTTTTTTCAACTTACAAATAAAATTTATCTTATGTAATATAGTCGAGCGAAATTCGTGTGCTGTACATACCTGTTCTTTTATCATACGGTTTAAACGGACTCTAACCATTTTTGATTTATCTTATTTTAAAGAAGGACCCATTTAACTGTTAACCATTGTAATATGTTGCATAATTATTGTATAATCTTTTGTGAAATTTTTTTCTAATTATACCATTATTCAATTGACATTTTACTACCCCCATACACAATCGTCGAACACTGTAATTATTATTATACAGGGTGTTCAGTAAGTCAGGAAACGGGTTTCTATTGTTCTCATTGTTACAAATACGATTACGTATGCTTATTCATGCAATCAAAATAAATTAATAATAATCATGAATATCAATTTTTTACCACATTATTTAACTATTTAAACTAATCATTTCACTTAAGGTACACACACGTTAGGATTATCTCATTCGATATTTCGCTTACAGTTTATTTTCGCGTATTCGATATATTCTATATAATTTTTTTTTTTTTTCAACTTACAAATAAAATTCATCTTATGTAATATAGTCGAGCGAAATTCGTGTGCTGTACATACCTGTTCTTTTATCATACGGTTTAAACGGACTCTAACCATTTTTGATTTATCTTATTTTAAAGAAGGACCCATTTAACTGTTAACCATTGTAATATGTTGCATAATTATTGTATAATCTTTTGTGAAACTTTTTTTTATAATTATACCGTTATTCAATTGACATTTTACTACCCCCATTCACAATCGTCGAACACTGTAATTATTATTATATATGATAACATGAAAATAAATCAACAACACGTTTTTAATTGTACGTTTATTTTTATTATATATATATATATATTATTTATAATTAATATCTATATAATATATATATTATATATAATTGTTTAATTCGATTCTGAAACAAAAAAACACGCATATCGTTATGCATCTATTGTAACAATATAAGATAAATAAATGCAAGAGGCAGAACGTAGTACTAAGAATTAATAATAAACTTTCGCGTACTCTACTTAATCAGCTATTATTGGTTTACCGTAAATAAATTTCCTTAGCTTTGAACCAAAAATTTATTCCATATTATTTTATTAAACAATTTGGTTTTTTGAAAAATCAATCTTTATTAGTTCTGCCTCTATTGTACGTGTGTATTTAATACCTTGCCCCGGTAGACGACCCGTTCCGCCGCAGTCCTCGGTGAAGGAGGAGGAGGAGGCTGTTGTAGCATTTTGCATAAGCAACCTCAATCGCTTGACCTCTTCCTCTGCATTGNCCTCAATCGCTCGACCTCCTCCTCCGCATTGCGGCGAGCCCGTTGCTCCGTTTCAATAGGCGGTTGGGTTGGTGTAGGTTGTGGTGGTGGTGGTACTGTTTTGCGTTTTAAAAAAAAAAAAAAAACCGTTTTTTTAACACATGGATATAAGTCGTAGTTTTATGTATAACTACTCGGGTATTCCCGATTTAAGTGGCCACCACTCTTGCACCTCCAGCACACTGCGAAAATGAATATCATCCGTCATCAATACGATATGGGTGCATGATTAATAAAAAAATTCATTAATAAGTGCACTTACGTTTTGGACCCTTGCGCTTCTTCTTTTTATTAGTTCTAGGCTTTCTTACAGTATGTTGTGCCGTTGTGCCGCATACTGTAAAAATATTGCATTTCACGAACACCTGTTTCATGTTGACTGAATACCTGAATCAACTGTGATATAACGCTAACAGATTTTTCAGTCCGGGAATTCTTTGCCACTCCCAAGTCGGACTTTGGACTCCGTCGCTTTATAATCTCCGAGAGTCGTCAGCGTTTAAACCGAGTTCAATCAGATCCCGCCGCCGATTTTTGTGGCGCGATCGAATAGGGCTATTCACTTATTTAGCCGAACCCTAAGACACTCGCTATCGAGGTCCGCGTTCGCTATTACAAAAAGATGTTTCGCGTTTTTCGTAAAACGTCAATGCCCCTAACCACGCCGAATCAATTATTTTTACGCGCGACGCGAAATCCGCGGTAACACGGCCGCTGCAGTTTTTCGTCACACGCGCGAGTTGAACTTTGAACCGCGCGACTTTCTATCGTCCGTGTCTCGGCCCACGACTCGGTTTCGGTTGTCCTACCGATATTACTTGCATCGTCGCGTTATCATTTCACAAATCCGAAGTTTATAATCAATCGAAAAGCCAAATTTTCATTTTTATGTATACACTTATGCGTATTGACTACACAAAAAAAGGAATAATCCTTTTTTTGTTTTTCCCTACGCTACTAATATACATATATACAGTGATAACTAATTTATATATTTATATATATAAATATATATATTCTAAAGACTAATTTAATAATTTAATTAGCTACCTATATTTGTAATCCCTTGTGTATTATACATGTATATTAACTCAAAAATTTGAAACTTTAGATGTTTATATCTCTTATCAAATAAAGTTATACTAAAAATTCAAATGCCATTTACTATTAAATTAAAAACTCATTTTATTTTATTAAATACAAAATATGTGTTCCTATTTAAAAATACTTAAGTTAATGTTTTTTAACCTTGAAGAGATGAAAAAAATTTTGTTTTTACTACATATTTTTACATAGTTATAAATATTTTTGGATCTTGTTTCCAGAGGAAAATTTGAGAAATATTTATGTCGATCTCTCAATAAATTATATTTTCTCAAAAAAATTAATAGATACAGATTATAAATTATATTTATAATAAAATCTAGTGTATAGAATCTTTTACAAGTAAGATCTGTCATAGACTTTGTGTAATTAAATCATATTATTTAAAATCTTTAATCGTTTTTGTAAGTAATAGTTCATATAATTCATATAATTTATGAACTATATGACGTATAGTGTAAATCGTATACGTATTGCGCTTAATACCAAAATCAACGTTGGATTACTTGAAATATTATTGCATTACAAAGGATGTAAGTTAAGTACAATTTAATCTATGCTTTCGAACCTCCAATCTATTGCGTAATAAACCATTAAAAATTAATAAGAGAAAGAATTAATGAGAAAACAAAAAATATTTAATAAAAATTATACATATATAATAGTTATTTTTTAATTTTAATTTTATTTTATTACATGATAATTGGATATAATATTAAACAGAGATGTCCAGTATAACACATTTTATCTTTAATGGATAATTATTAAATTAATTATTCAATTGATTAA